AAGAGCGGTGACTAGTGCTTGAGGATAAATTTGTCTCGTACCCCACCTGACTTCTCCCCCTTGATTAGCCCCTGTGAAAAATGGCACCAGCGAGGTTCGCCTGGCCCCTGTGCTGAGGATGTAAGCTGTCACTGAACACAGACTCTGAAGTTCAAAGAGCTGTTGGGACCAGTCAGCAAAAGGGGTGTACCCTGGCAGCCCTCTGCACCGTCATGCTGACACCTCAAGAGAATTACATATTTCACTGAGCCATGCAGAAAGCAGATACTCAGGGGCGTGTGGGGGCCCGCACCACTTGGGACTTCTTTTGTCTCCATGCCGGCTAGGAGAGAGCAGAGGAAGCCCCTTCCTGAACTTCATGGCTGCTGGAAGTAGAGCTATCCATGTAGAGCCACAGGCAAAGTCTACTCAAATATCTGGGGGTGGATAACATAGCCCTGGCCTCAGCAGCATCCTTATGGAAGGTCTTAGTGTCTTTTGTGCAACTAGAGCAGCATGGAAGGAATTAAATGATGGTGATGGCGGTCTTGGCCTACACATTTAGCAAGAAAAATAGGCAAAAACACCTTGCCCTTTGTAAGACTTACAACAGTAGCACGCACCTTTTTTTACCCCAGAAATACTGCAAGAAACCTACCGTATTTGAGCTATTTCCACACTATGTTTCAAGTTTCTTGCTTCTTCTGTGTTGACTGAAATTTGTTGTGATGGTCACAAATAACTGAACGTACTTGAAGTCCGAGCTCAGGCACGGAGAATTTCAGAAAAATGCAAAATGACGTGAAAGGAGGCTGCAATGAAAGCGGTTACACCAACATAACGAGAGATAATAACCTGCAGCCCCTAAAATTGGGGCCTTTTCTGATTAACAGAAACTCTCAGAGAGGGGGAGAGAGAGAGAGAGAGAGAGAGAGAAAGAAAATTTCTAATGTCAGTCTCTCGTATTACTTCTCGTTCTCAGTTTTGCTAAGGAGTAATGGGGTAAAAAAGAGGGCAAATTAATTAATGCCAGCTATCTTATTCCTGCTATGCCGACAATCCCCGCGTTTAGGCCATGCAGCTGTAGTCTGTCCTTTATTCTGAGAGGGTGCTAATCCCCTTCCACTGCCAACTGACAGACTCCCGTTACATCCCACGCTAGTGGTGTTTATGGTCACATTGCTCTCCTGCGTTCTGTACCTGAAGTTTATCTGCTGAGAAAGTAATTTGGCAATCACAAGTATGACAAGCATCCCCAAATACGGTCAGGCTGTAGCTATCCCCTTTATATTCATTAGATCACTTGAAAGTGAAGTTCCCTGCTTTTTGAGTTTGTTTATGCAGAGGGGTTGAACAGCAGATGCACGTGGCACATATGCAAGTCACAACATACCTGAGTTATCAGTAAAGGACACAGGAGAATAGTACTGCTATTTTAATGCATGCTTCCTTTTTTGCAGCAAGTGTGCTATTAATACTGCAGAACTTCTGTTGTTGCTGCTTAGATCAAATGGGAAAGGGACTGAGGCCACACTCCGCTGTTCTGCTGGCTGCTTCTGTGCAAGATGAACTGATGAATAACGTGTGTGATTTCTCTTTCCCTTGTAGTTGCACTCTGCTGTGACCAGGATCCAAGTTCAAAGACCTGGTTTCAATTACACGTTTGCCCATATATGTATCCTGAACAATGACAAGACATGCATAGTGGACGACATAGTGCATGTACTGGAGGAATTAAAGGCTGCTCGTTCTTCTAATCGAACTAATTTTGCAATCACATATCCAATTACTCACTTAAAGGATGGCAGGGAAGTGTATAACGGGCATCAGCTTGGTGGGGTTACTGTGCACAGCAAAGACCGGGTGAAGTCTGCAGAAGCCATTCAGCTCACCTACTACTTGCAGGCAATCAACTCCTTGAATGACATGGTGGCAGAAAAGTGGGAATCCATTTTTTGTGACACTGTTGAACTTTTCCAGAAATCCAACAGGAAAGTCAAAATGTATCCTTTCACTTCTTCTTCGCTGAAGGAGGATTTCCAGAAGACTAGCAGGGTGTCAGAACGCTACCTGGTCACAAGCTTGGTCCTTGTGGTCACCTTGGCTGTTCTCTGCTGCTCCATGCAGGATTGTGTCCGCAGCAAACCCTGGCTTGGCCTGCTGGGATTGCTGACTGTGACCCTTGCCACTCTGACTGCAGCTGGAATCATCAATCTCACTGGTGGGAAATACAATTCCACCTTCCTGGGAATCCCCTTCATCATGTTAGGTAACTATCTCCTACTACTCTCTCTTTTGTGTGTTTGTGCTTCCCTGACGTGTTTCCCAGCAAATAGAGAAGCATCACTGCATGAGTCCTGATATCTAGTCGCTGTAACGCTGCAGTGTACAAAGTCCACACAGCCTCTGCTTATAAATGTCCGTACCATACCTGGACATTAGAACTATTCTGGGGGGCTCTGGTGTTGTGTAGCACCCTACTGTATGACGTGGTGCCCAGGTGGTAGCGAGGAGCAAGTACGCTCTAATGCCGTGCGTCGTGCAAGAGAGGACCCCGACGGTTGCTTTTCTGTGGAAGTTTGATTACGGTTTTGGTGGTCAACGTTAGAAGGCAACCTGTGCACAGGTCCCTTTGGTGGAGCGACAGTATCAGCTGTCTTGGCAAATAACAGGGACTGTGCGTTTTTCATTTAGAGAGCGCTCACTCCTTGGGAGAGCAGAGGCGTGTTTTACTCTTGGCTTACACTTTAGCAGGAGCCTGTCCATGGGATAAATGCGGGAGTCAGTTCTTTGTTGCATTTTCTCTTGGAAAACCTTTGTTTGCTGAGGCAGTTAAGTAGCACTTTACAGCCTGGATGTGCAGAGCTTTGTCTCCTCCCGGTCGGAGAAAGGACCGTGCAAGTAGTGCCAAAGGTGTCTCATGGGTCTGGGCGATACAGGCGTTAGTGGGCTATAGAGCAAGTCACATCTGGAGCCCCTTGGCCATGGTATTGACAGACATTTTTCCTCTCTCTGGTTTTCATACCACATTCGCTCACTGTGGACTGTGAGGTTGTTCTGTTTGGCTTTTTGAGGACGGGAAAAACGAGGAAGAAATCAAGGGAGTCACTTTGCTCCTAATCAAAACTCAGTGGACTCTCCTGTTGATTTCGGTGGTCCGTGGACCAGGGCCCTTGTGGGGAAACTTAGCATTATATCAAAACAGGCAGAAGGACTTCATGGGAGACAAAGAGTGAGCTCTGGAGAGTTCACAATCTGTGGGTTTGTGTTTGGTTCACAAACGGCGTGAAAAGCTTTGTACGCTGTAGGTGTCTAATATGTCCTTGTTCTCAACGTTATTCGTTTGTGAAGAATAATGCATGCATTGATTTGATCACAGCTTTCCCAGCTGAAAATCAGTGCTCCCTAATACTTCAGATTTCAAGCATTAGTGTGTCTCCACTGACTTAGTCACATCACGTAGTGATAGGACACGTTTCAGCACAGTTATTTTTGTATCAAGTGCCAGGTTTCTTTGCCATGCCCATACTACATGTGTGGTTTTGCCTCACTTAATTAAAGACTGAGCTTGAGTGCATCACACTACCAGTTAACATATAAGATGCATTCAGTGGCAAGCAGAAATCAACTATGTTACATCAGTTGCAGTGTGTAACCCTCATTTTCATATGACATCCACAAAAATTAAACTGTACCATAATCAAGAGGAAATACAGCACAAGAACTCCGGGTCATAAGGCGGCTAGCTTTGTGACCTAAGTCTACATGTTCATTTGTGTGCTTTTATGTCTAGGCATGTATTATAAAAATCTGTTCCTCAAACTACGTGTTCTGTGTGAACACATGGGGAATTTCCCGATGTGTTACAAGAAAATATGCATAGTAGAAATAAAATTGAAAGTCCAGCTGCAGGAATGAAAGTACCCAGGGAAAGTGACTCAAAAATATGAAAGATTAGCTCTTTTTAGGGATCAAGGCATCTGCTTTCTGGGACAACCATTCAAATCTTTAATTCACTGATAGTGACTATGCTGAGACTTGAAACCTTTAAAGGCTTAAGGTTAACTTTGAAGTTTCACTCTTATATTTTAGTCGTCCTTTGACTGCCAAACTTTATAGTCCATCTCTAGTTTTCTTTTTTCTCTTTTTTTGGGGGGAAGGGGGTATGTCTTAGTTGAAATACTCCACTTTTTTAAGAGTAAGTTTCAAATACACAACTCAGCTCTCACTATGAAAAAGTCAGGACATAACAACCAAGTTTCGTATGAATCTCTCTTGCTTCCTTAGCTCCATAAACTTTCCCAAGGGACAGAAACATCAGCAGGTGAACAGCAGGCACTAAAGAGACTTTGATGTTTTTAATGAGAACTATTTGAAACTGGCAGATAGCTAGAAAGGCAGGGTTTTTTTTTCCCCCTGCAGTACAACGGAAAGATTCTTCATGCATTTTGAAATGTATTTGATTTATATAAACTGTGTTGCTTATAGGGAAGGTTTAACTCAAGGTAACCAAAGGCTAGAGACACAAACCACCCTCCGTTGTGATCTGCTGAAATACTTCCACTTAATTTCAGTGACCATCAGATTAAATTGTAGGTTAACTGATGTTTAGAAGGCTAAAGGATTTCTGGCTAACAGTATAGCTCTGTAGCTGTTATTCCCCATAATTGCATGGCCAAAAGCAAGAATGAGATAGAAAAAGTACTTACACTGGACAGGTTTCAGGCAAGCCTCCTCCGCTAGAATAAATCATAAATGAAGTTTCCCCACTTTATAGCAGCTGAGGATTTTTAGCCTCTCATCAGAATCACAGAACCGGGAGGGTGCTCCAGACATCCGCTGACCTCTGCCACAGGACAAGGTTACACCCTTCCTAGCAGATACTCGTCCAGCTTGGACTTTAACTCCTCCGTGGGCAACTTCCCCTGGTGCTTCACTGTCCACCATGAGAGCAGTCACATAACGTGTGACCTGAATTGCTCCGTTGCAACTCAAGTGCCCTCCTTCTTATTCATGCTCCACTGCATCTGGACAACAATGTATTTCCTGTTTTTTTGCATATTTGGGACTACTTTCTCTCATCCAGCCCTCTTCCATTTCATCCCAGATCTCAAAGATTGTGCTTACTGGGCTTCCAGCTTTCTTGTTGCACTTTGGCTGCTCCACATCTTCGTTGGAGTGTGGTGCCTAAAACTGGGCGCAGGATTCAGGCTGAGACTCGCAGCACCAGGTAGAGTAGGAGGATTATTTCACACATCTTGCATATGGCACTTGTGTTCGTGCATCCCCATATGACATTCATTTTTTCTCAGCAGTATGAAATGGTTGACATGTTTGGTTTGTGGCGCACGGTAACTCACACATCCTTCCTGGCACTTTCCACCCTGCTTGCACAGTTGATTATTCCAGCCGACGTAGAAGTTTACCCTTGTCCTCGCTGAATTATGCCCTGTTTATGTCACACCATTTCTGCTGTTCACTATGTTCATCTTGATACCAGCACTGCCCTTCCAAGATGCATTAACTGAGGCTAGTCTGCACCGTTTTCCAAATATCTACTTTTTCATATTTTTAAAATTGCTTTCTGAGCCAGTTAAGTAGTTTGCCCAGTCATAAACCTATGCCAATGAGTTAGGCAATATATCTGCAAAATAATTCAGTTCAGGTCTGTAATATTAGATTTTATTAATCTTGTTTTCCCTAACGTCCCTTAGGCATCAGCTATTTCTGAGAACAAACAATCTATAGTGAAGAGTAGCAACCTCTGTATATATTGAATCTTTAGCCTTTGTGTCGATAGGACAATTATAAACAACTAAATTACCATGATTTATCAAGTTACACTCCTAAGCTCAGACTTTGTAAGTGTAGATAGGAACATCTTTTGCCTACCCCACCTATTAAATATGACATATTAGTTTAAACACTTCATACTTCAGGTTTAATCACCTTTAGGGTAGTTTCTTCTAATGTATTTTACACTTTAATTAAGGCAGGTTCCTGTAACTCAGCTCATGAAAGGCAACTCATTAAGTCACAATAACTCAGTCATTCGTGATTGTCTGTAGGCACCCTGCGTATATCACTATAGCGATGATTTTGATGTTGTGGCAGATTTCTTTTCAGCCCCCATCGAGTGCTAACTGAATGGCAGAAGTCAAATCCAGCTGTAGCGATACGTGACTGCTGAGAACTGCAATTCAGCAAGCTTCAGCACTAGCCAGCAGTATTGCGAGAGACCTCCTTCCCCAGCTGTGTGAAAAAGCACAGGTCTTCTTCTGCCACAGGAGGACAGGTTTTGAGGGGGAGGCAGGAGGGGAAGCGCTGCCTAGGAAGTTGCCTCAGCCCTGGGCAGGGGCTGCATTAGGAAACAAGCCAGCTAAGGCACCGTTGACTGGAATCCCTCTTTTTCCAAGGAAAATGTTGTGAGGTGGAGCTGGGAACTTTTTCTTGACCTCTAGGTTGACACTGGTACTCTTAATGTCAAAGTGAAGTCTGAAACCTCTGAAACCTGACAGGCTCCCGCCGTTCATCTGGGCATATTTAGAACCAGCATGTGCCTCAATGGTTTTCTAAAACTAGCACTCATTCGCATTTATCAATGTGCTTAAGCGTGCGTAAACAAGTATTTTGAGGGCAAGGTTATTCACATGCCTAGTTCACGTGAAATAGTTTGTTGAGCTGGGTCTATCTGCTTTCACCATAAGCTTTCTATACTGAAAAATTAAATTCTTCATAATTCAACTGAATTTAAAATAGCTGAATTATAATGCCAGCTGAAAAGCAGAATTAAAATTCTGATTTCCTCTTGCCTACTCCACTAAAATTTGCAGATGTTAATAAATTCGTCATGTTTCCCTTATGTAGTAAATGCTGTTTAATAACTGCCAATCCTTTCAAAATACAGGTTTCCTCAAAAACATTGTGTTACAAAATAAAGTATTGAAAAACAAGGAGTGCTCACCCAAGAAGTTTTTGGCATTACTTTTTGACCTCCCACAGGTGGAGTGCAACATTTAACTTTGAGGCTCAAGTGAAAATTGCAATATTGGTCTTTGTATTTAAGAGAAAAATAGCAATCTGTTTCGTATTCTTTTAGAAACTCCTACGGTTTATTCAGAAAGATGTGGCTCTTTTCAGCTGCCAAGTTCATGAAAAGAATCAGCTATGTAAAATAATTACGGAATGTCAGACATTGCCAAATATGGGGAAAGATGCAGGGCCTGTTCCACAAGCTTATATTTAGCTTCTGATTTGAAAGTACACTGC